TTTTTTTTTTTTTTTTTTTTTTTTTTTTTTTTTTTTTTTGAAATAGAGTCTTGCACTGTTGCTCTGGGTAGAAGGCAGTGGCATCATCGTAGCTCACAGCAGCCTCAAACTCCTGGGCTCAAGTGATAGTCCTGGCTAAGCCTCTCAAGTAGCTGGGACTGTAGGCTCGCACCATCATGCCCAGCTATTTCTTAAATTTTTTTTATAGAGATGGGGTCTTGCTGTGTTGCTCAGGCTGGTCTCGAACTCTTGGCCTCAAGTGATCCTTCCATCTTGGTCTTCCAAAGTGCTAGGATTACAGATGTGAGCCATCATGCCCAGCCTAGTCTTTTATTTTTGACTTAAAAAAAAAATATTTTTGATTTTTGTTACCTTGTCACTTTTGGAGATTGCAGGCCAGTTATTTTGTAGAAATAACCCCTAGTTGGGGTTTGTCTGATGTGTCTTTGTCATTAGATTCAGATTTTCATCTTTGGCAGGAATAACAGAGAAGCGATGCAGTTATTGTGCTACATTGGGCGTGTGGCTTTGATTTGTCCTATTAATGATGATGTGATTTTTTATCAATTAAGGTGGTGTCCATCAGGCTTCTCCACTCTAAGGTTACTTTATTTTCCCTTTGTCATGAATAAGTGTTTTGTGAGGAGTGCTTTATCCTGGTCCTCATTAAACTTTCAATCTATATGATTATTTATTCATTTCTCTGTATATGGTTTTACTGTTCCCTATTTTATCCAATGTTTTGATGTTCACATTGTCCCCGATTAGGCCTGTAGGAGTCCTCTTCTAAATTGAGAAAAATTATTGACAAACTAAAAAAAAAAGAATCCCAGAGCACAGATTATTTTTTTAAGTAAACTTTTTCAAGGTATAGTGTATACCTTGTATATAGCAAGTCTAGCACACTTTACCCTTTTTAGGTATGCAGCTCTGTGCCATATAATCATCACCACAGTCAAGATACAGAGCAGTTCCATTACCCTGGAAGGTTCCCTTGTGTCTCTTTGTCATCAATCCCCACCCCACTCTGTCCTCTGGAGACCAGCGACCTGTAGTTGGGCCTTTTCCAGAGTGTCCCGTGAGTGGGATCACACGTATGTAGTCTTTCAAGCCCTTCCGCTCAGCGTGTTGCCTTTGAGACTCATCTGAGTGATTGCACGTATTAGTTTCTAGGGCTGCTGTAACAAATTTACACAAACTTGGTGGCTTAAAAACAATAGATATTAATTTTTTTGCAGTTCTGAGTCCAGAAGTTCAAAATTAAGGTGTCAGCAACATCATGCTCTCTCTGAATGCTCTGGGGAAGAGTCCTTTCTTGCTTCTGTCTAGTTTTGGTTGGGTGCCGGCAATCCTCAGCTTGTAGCTCCATCATTCTTCTCTCTGCCTCTGTCAGCACACCACCTTCTTCTTTGAATGCCTTTTTGCCCAAGTCTCCCTCTTCCTTCTCTTATGAAGACTCTAGTCATTGGCTTAACTTGATTATATCTGCAAAGAATGTATTTCCAAATAAGGTCACATTGACAGGTTCTAGGATTAGGAGTTGAACATTCTTTTGGGGGACATAGTTTAAACCACTGCATTGCATTGATTGGTAGTTCATTTTTTTTTTTTTATTGCTGAGTAGCCCTCCATTGTAGGGATGTATATAATTTGTTTATCCATTCATCAACATATGGGCATTTGGATTGTTTCCACCTTTTGGCAATTATGAATAAGATGCTATAAGCATTCACATCCAGGTTTTGTATAAATACCTAGTAGTGGAATTGGTGGGTCATATGGTAAGTGTATATTTAACTTTAACTTTATAAGAAATTGCCAAGCTGTTTTCCAAAGTGGCTGTACTGTTTCCTATTCCCACCAGCAATGGATGAGAGTTCCAGGACCCTGTATCTTTCCTGGCACTTGGTATTTCTGAGTTGTTTTTTTTTTTTTTTGAGACAGAGTCTCACTCTGTTACCCGGGCTGGAATGTTATGGCGTCAGCCTAGCTCACAGCAACCTTAAACTCCTGGGCTCAAGCAATCCTCCTGCCTCAGCCTCCTGAGTAGCTGGGACTACAGGCATGTGTCATCATGCCCAGCTAATTTTTTCTATATATTTTTAGTTGGCCAATTAATTTCTTTCTATTTTTAGTAGAGATGGGGTCTTGCTCTTGCTCAGGCTGGTGTCAAACTCCTGACCTTGAGCAATCCGCCCGCCTCGGCCTCCCAGAGTGCTAGGATTACAGGCGTGAGCCACCGTGCCCGGCCCAGAGGTTTTTTTTTTTTTAATTTTTTAAATTGTGGTAAAAAACATACAACATAAAATTTACCATCTTAACCATTTTTAAGTGTACAATTCAGTGGTATTAAGTACATTTATATTGTTGTATAACATCCCAGAATTTTTTCATCTCACAAAACTGGGACTCTATACTCATTGAACAAGAATTCCCCATGTTGGCCAGGCGCGGTGGCTGAACCCTGTAATCCTAGCACTCTGGGAGGCCGAGGCAGGGGGATCACTCAAGGTCAGGAGTGAGACCTGTCTCTACTATAAATAGAAAAAAATTAATTGGCCAACTAAAAATATATAGAAAAAATTAGCTGGGCATGGTGGCACATGCCTGTAGTCCCAGCTACTGAGGAAGCTGAGGCAGCAGGATTGCTTGAGCCCAGGAGTTTGAGGTTGCTGTGAGCTAGGCTGACGCCACGGCATTCACTCTAGCCTGGGCAACAAAGTGAGACTCTGTCTCAAAAAAAAAAAGAATTCCCCATGTCCCCATCCCTCCAACCTCTGGGGACCACTGTGTTTCTTTCTGTTTCTATGAATTTGACTATCCCAAGAGCCTCATACAAATGAAACCATGTACTCTTTGTCTTTTTGTGACTGGCTTGTTTCACTTAGCATAGTGTCCTCAAGGTTCATCCATATTACAGCATGTGACCAGACTTCCTCACTTTTAAAGGGTGAATAATACTCCATTGCAAGTGTGTACCACATTTTGTTCATCTATTCATCCATCCATCCACTGATGGACACTGGGGTCGCGCCTGCCTCTTGGCTGTTGTGTATGATACTGCTACTGACATGGGTGTGCAAATATCTCTTAGAGGCTCTGCTTCCAATTCTTTTGGGTATATACTCAGAAGTGGGATTGCTGGATCACATGGTGATTCTGTGTTTAATTTTTTGAGGAACTGCCATAGTATTTGTTATAGCAGCTGCACCACTTTACTTTCTCACCAGCAGTACACAAGGGTTCCATTTTCTCTATACCTTTGTCAACACTTATTTTCTGTTTTTTGTTTTTTTGGGGTTTTTTGAATAGTAGCTATCCTAATGGGTGTGAGGTGATAGTATTTCAGTTTAAAAAATGTTGGTCATTGTAATGCATGGGTAGTGATATCTCATAGTGGGTTTTTTTTGAGACAGAGTCTCACTTTGTTGTCCAGGCTAGAGTGAGTGCCGTGGCGTCAGCCTAGCTCACAGCAACCTCAAACTCCTGGGCTCAAGCAATCCTGCTGCCTCAGCCTCCCAAGTAGCTGGGACTACAGGCATGCACCACCACGCCCGGCTAATATTTTCTATATATATTAGTTGGTCAATTAATTTTTTTCTATTTATAGTAGAGACGGGGTCTCACTCTTGCTCAGGCTGGTTTTGAACTCCTGACCTCGAGCGATCTGCCTGCCTCGACCTCCCAGAGTGCTAAGATTACAGGCGTGAGCCACCACGCGTGGCCTCGTTGTGGTTTTAATTCACATTTTCGTAATGACTGATGATATTGAACAACTTTTTGTGTGCTTATTTGCTATTCTTATATCTTCCTTGATAAAATGTCTGTTCAAATCTTTAATTTTTAAATTGAGTTGTTTTCTTATTGAGTTGTGAGAGTTCTTTATTTTGCATACCAGTTTTTATCAGGTATGCATTTTGCAAATAGTCTTTGGCTTGTTTTTTCATTTTTTTTTTAAATAAAATATTGAATAGCAGAAATTTTAAATTTCGATAAAGTCCAGTTTATCAATTTTATTCTTTTGTGATTTGTACTTTTTGTGTCTTATCTAAGAATCTTTTGCCTAACTCAAGGTCACAAAAGTTTTTTTCTCATGTGTTCTTCTGTTAGTTTTACAGTTTTGGATTTTACGCTTAGTTAATTACAAGTTAATTTTTTTATGTGATGCAAAGTATGGGTTTGAGGCCCACTTTTTTTGTGTAGGGATGTTGAATTGTTCCAGCACCATTTGATGAAGACTTTCTTTTCCCTATTGAATTGCCGTGGGACCTTTGTTGAAAATCAATTGACCATATATGTGTGAGTCTATTTCTGGACTCTGTCTTCTGTTTCATTGGTTTCTTTGTCTGTCATTTTGCTAATACCACAGTCTTGATTACTGTACTTTTATAGTAAGGCTTGGAATCAGGTAATCAGAGTCCTTTAACTTTGTTCTTCAAAGTTGTTTTGCTTATTTTAGTTCCTTTGCTTATCCATAAAATTTTAGAATCAGCTTGTTGATTTCTACAAAAAAAGCCTACTGGGATTTTAAATGGGGTTGCATTGAAGCTGTAGATAGGTTGGGGAGAATTAACATCTTTATAATATGGAAACCCATGAACATAGAAGCACAGATTTTGATTAAAGTTAAGTTGCTTATAATCATTTATTTATATATAATCCTCTTCCTCTTACTTTTCGTTTATTATATTTATTTATATATTTTTTAATTGACAAATAAAAATTATATAATTTATGGTATACAATTTGATGTTTTGATATATGTATATGTTGTGGAATGGCTAAACCAAGCTAATTAACATATGCTTTACCTCATATCATCATTTTGTTGTGGCGAGAATCTACTCTCTTAGCAATTTGCAAATATAAAATACATTATTATTAACTGTAATCATCATGATATACTGTAGATTCTTGAACTTATTCTTTCTGTGTACTCCTTTTATGTTTGTAGATCACTTTGGAGTTTACAAAATGCTTTCATATCTGTTACTTTTCTTTTCTTGGTTTTTTTTTTTGGTTTTTTTTTTTTTGAGACAGAATCTCACTCTGTCACCTAGGCTAGAGTGCCATGGCGTCAGGCTGGCTCACAGCAACCTCAAACTCCTGCACTTAAGGGATCCTCCTGCCTCAGCCTCCTAGGTAGCTGGGACTAAAGGCACACACCACCATGCCCGGCTAATTTTTTCTGTTTTTAGTTGTTTGGCTAATTTCTTTCTATTTATAGTAGAGACAGGGTCTCACTCTTGCTCAGGCTGGGCTTGAACTCCTGACCTTGAGCGATCCTCCCGCCTCAGCCTCCCAGACTGCTAGGATTACTGGCGTGAGTCACCGCACAAGGCCCCATATCTGTTACTTTTCTTGATCCTTATTACAACATTGGTTGGTAAGTGTAATACTATTTTAATATGGTTAAAGACCAATTTTCTATCCTATGGGGGTGTCTAAAATCACATTCTTTTTCTCTAACCCAACGGCCCCTTAAGCAGAGAGTGCAGACTTATCAGATGAGTAAATAAAAACAAGCTTTTCAGGCAGCCTTCTGATTATCCTTAGCAAGGGAAGTCACCAGCAAGGGGTGGCTAGGATTATAGCCATTAAGTCTCTGGCCTGGCATGTGTACACCAAAGGCAGGGAGGAGGAAGTGGGCATTATCTTCTCTGACAGCAGGGACTGTCTCTTCTAGTTGGGAGAGGGAACAGTCTGGTGGCCAAGGAAGAAGCCCTTACTGCAAGGCAGTTTGCAAAGAGTTGGAGCACCAGGTCCAGCAAAGTGATTTTCCTGGGACCCACTACCAATACAGGTGGGTATAGTGAGGCCCAGAGTTTGCATAGCAACTATGTAAGAGAATCAGGACTTAAAAAATCAAGTCTTTGACTTCCAATTTAATTTCCATGGCTTTCTTTCACAGCATTTTCTTCCAAATTTTCATAAGGTTCTTTTAAAAACAAAGGATCCTGCCGGGCGTGGTGGCTTACGCCTGTAATCCTAGCACTCTGGGAGGCCAAGGTGGGCGGATCGCTCGAGGTCAGGAGTTCGAAACCAGCCTGAGCAAGAGTGAGACCCCATTTCTACTATAAATAGAAAGAAATTAATTGCCCAACTAAGATATATATAGAAAAAAAATTAGCTGGGCATGGTGGTGCATGCCTGTAGTCCCAGCTACTCGGGAGGCTGAGGCAGCAGGATTGCCTGAGTCCAGGAGTTTGAGGTTGCTGTGAGCTAGGCTGACGCCATGGCACTCACTCTAGCCTGGGCAACAAAGCGAGACTCTGTCTCAAAAAAAAAAACAAAGGATTGGCAAAAGATATATCAGTTAAATTCAAACAAAAGGAAACATAAGTAGCAGTATTAATTTCAGAGTATTACTCCTAAGAATAGCCAACATTTACTAAGTACAAGCCATATGCCAGATACTGTGTTAAGCTTTCTATACTGATTATTCAGTCTTCACAAAATCCCTTTGGATTTCGAATATGTATTTGGTAATTATTGTTGTTTGACTTTTATGCGATGAAGCAATATAGCAACAAATTGCAAAAAGCAAAAACGCCTAATAAATGAAGGGAATTTGACAATAGCACAATTGTAGATTTTTAATTCACTATGATGGCTGAATCAATATTCAAAAATAAAGATAATGGAGAATGATACCATTAACAAATTAAAATTACTAAATACCAAAATTTATTCTCTAAGAAGGTAAAATTCTGAGGCAGAAGGATTGCTTGAGGCCAGGAGTTCAAGACCAGCCTGAGCAAGAGCGAGACCCCGTCTCTACTAAACATAGAAAAATCAGCCGGGCATGGTGGCGCATGCCTGTAGTATCAGCTACATGAGAGGCTGAGGCAGGATTGCTTGAGCCCAGGAGTTCCAGGTTGCAGTGAGCTATGATCACTCCACTGTACTCTAGCCTAGGTGACAGAGTAAATGCCTGTCTCAAAAAAAAGAAAAGTAAAATTATTTTAAAATAACTGCTGGCTACCAAGTCGGACAGTGCTGCCCCAGATGGTACGCGTCCTCAGGCTGCACTCCCGTTCCAGATTTGGCACCGGCGTTTGAGTCCTCACCTTCTCCTAAAAGCCCAGTGCTCTAAGGTTCTCCCTCCCACCTTTTCTTCATCAGTAATCAGATTTCTGTGCCGTGGCCGAAGTGCTTATTGGAGTGATAAGAGAAGCACTCTGAATAAATTTCACGTCAGAAAGTTTTAGCCTCCACTCAACTACTCCGGGGTACCTGCACTTCAAAAGAGGATGCCTAGAAAATCAGATGTCTGGGTGGCAGAATTTCACACTGTCAAAGGCAGCGGTTAACTGAAAGGCCGTGTGGCGCCTACGCTCATCCTCACGTTCCAGCACACGCACACGGTAGTGGTCGCCTGAATGCACGGGCTGACCCTGTGAGAGCTTTGTGTTCTCCTGCTCCCGCTCCCTTCTGAGAGTGGAGTTGACTGCTTTTCCTTTTCACTCTTCATCAATTAATAAATTAAATAATTAATTTAGCAAGTGCTTCTTGAGCACTTACTATGGCGTCAGGCTCTGTACTAGGCACAGGAAACAGAAATGAATAAAGGCCCCTTCACAGAAGAAGTGTGCAGCCCAGTTAGTCCTCGTTTAATGCCATCAGCTTTGGGTCCGGCGCTGGAGGCCTGGGCAGCGTGCACCCAGCCACCACCCCTCGCTGAAGGAGGACTGCTCTGCTCCAAGCCACAAATGACCTTGGAATCTCCGGAGACTGTTCCAGAATGGTTCTATCTTGAGTCACAGGTCAGAGAGTCTCTGCTGAGACCTCAGAGTAGCTTCTCGTGCCATGTAATGGTCTTTGGAACTTCTGTCTGTATCTCTACGGTCAGCTCCCAGCTCCTCCTGTCTCCTGACTGTCTCTCGTCTCGTTCTTTTGTCTCCTGCAGTTGTGGCAGTGAGGAGCCCTAAGCCGCTGCCCCCTTCCCCTCCGGTACTGCCCAGGGTGAGCTGTGGTACGATAGGGGGGGGGGTCCGGGTGGCAGGCAGACCTGGGTTTGAGTCCTGGCTCCACCACCCTTGATTTATGATTCTGGGCACTTCCTTGTCCCACGAAGCTTATTTTTCGGCATCTAAGATAGGGAGGATGATAATAACTTTCTGTAGGATAAACTGAGATGATGGAAGGCATCGAGGCCTTGATCAAGGGGTTTGGGAGCTGGAGTGTGTTAAGGGAATCGGGGTAAAGATAACTGAGTCCTTCCCAAGCCACAAACTAAATTCTGGTCGTGGGTGTTGTGTGTTCTTCATAGTTTGTGGCTTTTGTGTCATAGTCATCTGCTCAAAACTTAAAAATGAGAGGGAATTCGTTCCCAAGGTCATAAACTTCAGCCAGCCCTGCTCTTGATGCAGCGTGCTCTCTGCCAGCCCCGAACCAGCATATTGGTACTTTTATCCAAATACTATTAGATATAATGAGATAGGGTAGTAGTGACCTTGGGTTTCTGCATGAGATTTAGAAGACCACATTTACAAGTTATTTTAGTAAGAATTATTGCCAGGAAAGATTTTCACTGATTCATAATGTCTATTTTATGTTGTGTCTTATTTTCCTTTTCAGAGATTAACACTTTTCTGACCTTGTCTCTAAATTTTTTTAGAGACATACCTTCCAAACTGTATGCACTTTGCAATTGTGATTTTTTTTTTTTTGTTATCTCCATGTTTGATTTGCTCACTGGTTTGCCTTTGATTTTGACTTCCAGCAGTATATTCTTCTTTTCAGCCTAAAAAAAAAATAGTGAGAAACACAGAAAGTTAGAGGGTTACTTAATAGTTTTGGAATGTGCATTTGTCCCAAAATAGGAGCTGTGACCAAGAATATGGTTGTCATATTTTTAATACATATTTGAGTATTTCTTTTTTCCCTTCCTTTTTATCTGACCATATGTGTTGAATAGAAGACTTATAGGATATGAGAGAAAAGTAGACAACTCAGGAATCTCTAGTAGTCTGGAATAAAGCCTTTGTTTGGAATTATGGGAGGGGCAGGGCAGCGCTGCCCCATACACTGAATGGGGAACATCTGTATCCATGAGAACTTGAGCGAGGGAGCTGGAGTGTTGCCATTTTCATTCTGCCTTTCATGCGCTCTCAACCGTCCGTGCCGCGGAGGGTCAGGGATAGCATGGATACTTGAGGACTGTAAAATATCGCTCCAGATAGTGCTTTAAAAGACTGAGTCATTTTCTATTAATTTAAATTGTTCATGCCAGAAAATTTGGAAGATATGGAAACTTCTGAGAAGTGTATCTATTGGATAAAAACCAATGGCCCAGGCCGGGCGCGGTGGCTCAGGCCTGTAATCCCAGCACTCTGGGAGGCCGAGGCAGGAGGATCACTCAAGGTCAGGAGTTCGAGACCAGCCTGAGCAAGAGCGAGACCCCCATCTCTACTAAAAACAGAAAGAAATGAATTGGCCAACTAAACATATATAGAAAAAATTAGCCGGGCATGGTGGCGCATGCCTGCAGTCCCAGCTACTGGGGAGGCTGAGGCAGGAGGATTGCTTGAGCCCAGGAGTTTGAGGTTGCTGTGAGCTAGGCTGACGCCACGGCACTGTAGCCCAGGCAACAGAGCAAGACTCTGTCTCAAAAACAAAACAAAACAAAACAAAAAACCAGTGGCCTACATGAAAAGAAATACCACAAATACTAAAGTGACGACATACATTTTGCCTTAAAATGAAAGCTTTAGGGCAGTACAGAGGCCGCACAGTATGGTGGGCAAAAGCTCGCACTCTGAATTCGAATGTGGCCTCTACTACTTTCTGGCTGTGTGACCTCGAGCAGATCACTTGGCATCTCTTTGCCACAGTCTTCTCGCCTGTAAAATGGGGGTAGCAGTAATGCCAATATCAAAGTTTTGTTGTGAAGAATAGATGAGTTATTATACATGATACCCTTAGAACAGTGCGTGGCACGAGGCAAGCACGTTGCAGGTGTCTCCTCTTGTTACTGTTACCGTTGCCCTTGTCACGACCACTAACTACTTCTGCCGCCACTGCCCCTGCCGCGGCACGGGCCGTCCGCCGGGGCTCGCGGTCCAGCAGTGCTGCTCAGCTGGTCGTCAAGGAGTGTAAGCCTCCGCTTCTGTGTTTGTAAGATAGGGGTGTGGGTAGGGCCTGCCCCGCTGGGTTACGGGGAGGATGAAATGGACTGAGAAGGAAGCGCTGGGCACCCTGCTTGGGATGACAAATGCCCCCCATTGTCTCCTTGTTACTGTGTTACCGTGGCAGCGCCCAGCGAAGGAGCCGCCCACTCCGGAATAAGTTCTTCTTGCTAATAAAGCACCAAAGCTTGAGAATTATGTTTTAAACATAATTTGAGCCAAAGCCAAGTTAGCCCCACCCCGACATTACTGCTGTTCACTTCCACCTTGAGAAGCGGGACAGCCCGCAGGGAACAGCCCGTGCTCCCGGGATTGGCCGCTCCTTGGCTACCCCTGTTGGGATGCAGGCGAAAGGCGGGTCCCTGTATGGGGCAGAAAATGAGCTTGGGAGCCGCTGGCCTTGGGATGCTGTCGTTTCTGCCTGGGAGGGTGCCATTCACGGTGTTCCACCTTCATCCTCTTGCATCTGCCAAAGCGCTTTTCCTTCCGGTCGCCAGACAGGAGCACGGTGATCCCCAAGTCCTGCTGTCCCTGCCTTGTCCAGACACATAGAGATGCCGGGAAAGTGCTTGTTTGGACTATTTTTTAATTTAATTTAATTTTTTCCAGCATATTGTGGGGGTACAAATGTTAAGGTTACGTATATTGCCCTTGCCCCCCCCTCGAGTAAGAGCTTCAAGCGTGTCCATCCCCCAGTTGGTGCGCATCGCATTCATTATGTGTGTATATACCCATCCCCTCCCCCCCACCTGCCCGACACCCAATCAGTGTTATTCCTGTATGTCCACTTAGGTGTTGATCAGTTAATACCAATTTGCTGGTGAGTTCATGTGGTGCTTTGTTTTGACTATTAAAATCACTTTTCGGCCAGGCGCTGTGGCTCACGCCTGTAATCCTAGCTCTTGGGAGGCCGAGGCGGGCGGATTGCTCAAGGTCAGGAGTTCAAAACCAGCCTGAGCAAGAGCGAGACCCCGTCTCTACTATAAATAGAAAGAAATTAATTGGCCAACTGATATATATATATATAAAAAAAAAATTAGCTGGGCATGGTGGCGCATGCCTGTAGTCCCAGCTACCCGGGAGGCTGAGGCAGAAGGGTCACTTGAGCCCAGGAGTTTGAGGTTGCTGTGAGCTAGGCTGACGCCACGGCACTCACTCTAGCCTGGACAACAAAGCGAGACTCTGTCTCAAAAAAAAAAAAAAAAAAAATCACTTTTCTATTGCATTGAACAGCTACTACAACTTGCCCTGAACTTATTCCTTAATAAATACTGAGTGCCTTTAAGAGTAAGATATTGTTGAGTTTATGAAGAAAATCCAGAGACTGTCCGGTTAAGAAGCTTATAAACAAGTATGGTAGACTGGGTGTTTACGCAAGAGCCGTAGCACAGAAACATTTACTGTAGTGTTCTCTTTCTTTCTTACCTTCCATTTTTAAACTTTTACATTCAGGAAAAGTACTACACTGCATTTGTTTATAGCTTGGTCCTTAATTCTTTGTTTTTTATTATAAAAGTAATACTTGCTCATTGTATAAAATTTGGAAAACATTGAAGATTAAAAAGGAACAGAAAAAATTAGCCATCTTTCATCAACTAGAAATTATCATTTTAATGTTTCATTTATTTTTCATGTATCTTTATACAGGAAAAATCACTCTCCATGTTATAGTGATAAACACCTTTAAGTATGAGTTGTCAGTATTCCTGATCATAGATTTCCACAAGTAGAATTATTTAGTTAAAGGGTAGAATTATTTGCAAAGTTATTAATACATGTGGTTTCATTGTATTTTGTCAGTGATGTTTACCTTAACAAGATTTCTGACACTGATTGATTGGATTATTTGCTGCCTTAAGTACAGGAGATCCTTAGCTTTCTGAGACCTAACATCCCAAGTGTGTGTGACTATTCAAGAGTGACTCCAGAGTTCATGACATAAAGTAGTTTGCATATTTACTGAAGCACAAAATTTAATGACACAGGCCTAGTGGCCGGTGAGTGACCAAGGCTGCCTAGCAAATGTTGCACTGGACTTCGTGGTTCTCTATGTAATACTTCTCATATATTGATTTAAAGGCTCAGTTTTCTTGAATGTAGAGAATTTTTGTGAAAATTACAAAGGCCATTTATGGTATACAATTATGCACAGAAAATCTGACTGTCAGAGAAATGCGGCTCAAGAAAAATACCAGGAGTGTGTATACATACTTTCATGTTAAGACAGAAGGTTTGCAAAGGTCCACTGTTTTCTAATTGCTTGATAGTATGTATTAACGTGTCATTTCCAAAAAAATAAATCTAATTTTCTTTTTAGAGCCAACTCAAGGAAGGAGTCCCTTTATAATAAATCATGAAATAGCTATATAAATATATATCTTTATAATAAAATATGAAAAATAAATACATTAATGAAAACATCCGTGAGCTGCTATAGATGTTTGCCTGCTATAGATATGTGCCCCTTACTTAAGCCTTAATTTTAGAAGAAATTCTTTGTATTTTGGCAGGAATGTCTTAACTCTAGCTAGGAAAGAAAAGTGTGTGGAAAACAATTTAATCAGTGCCTGGGAGTCTGGGAACAAACTTAGGAAAAGAGACTTTGCTTGGACCCATCACAGGTTTACCTTAACATCTCTGTTTAACCTTGTGCTTCTGAGCAGAACCGCACACCCGCCAGCCCCCAACCCCACGGCCTGCAAGCAGCTTCCTGCAAGCAGCTTCTCGCTGCCCCCCTGTTTGAACTGTTCCCCTTGAAGTCGCTTTCTCCCCGATTGCCGCCAGGGAGGTGGGGGTAGCTGCATCCCCTCCCGTCCGGCCCTCCTCTCTGGCCGCAGAACGTTTCTTGCTTTTATTTTACGATCCATGGCAAACCAGCACTGCCCTTCCTGCCTCGGGACCTGCCTCCCCCGCCCCGCGGCGAAGGTCTCAGACGCGTACGGAATGGTCGGTGGCCCTCTTGGAGGGGCTCCTACTTCCACGTCTGAACCGTTCATGTAGAGATCCGTCAAAGGCGTAGAGTCAATTTATAAGGTGCTGAGGTAACCCTGATGATCCGGGGGTGGGTGCCAATGGAGTCAGGTCTGTCTGGCTTCTGGCTTCTTTTGTCGCCTTCTTCCCCAGGTCCCCGGGCCCCCTTGACCCCTGCCTACCTAGCCAGCTTGCCACCCGCCTCTAGGACCCAGCCTGCTCTGAGGCAGAGGGAGCAAGGCTGCCTCCCACTCTGTAATTTGGCCTCAAGTCACCACTGCTGGCCTTGTGCCTCAGCTCTGATAACTGGACTCTTGTCTGGTTCCTGGGTGCCAGAATCCATGGCAACCCGCCTCGTGTCCCTGTGCCTTGTTTTTATCAGCTGCCCTCCCAGGGACTGAAGCCGGCCCCGCAGCACAGTGACTGATGGGCTTTCCTGGTGTCAGCCACCCAGCTTGCCCCCTGAATGTCCCTTTGTTCTGCAGTGCCTGCCGTCAGGAAGCCCCTGCTCTGGACACTTTTCTCAGTAACTGGCAACGTGGTTCTTCCAGTCACTCAGGCCAGAACCGTGGAGTCATCCATGACTCCTTCCATTCTCTCACGCCCCGCCTCTGAGCCTTCTGCACACGCTTGGTTCTACTTTTAATATATATCCAGAATCTGCCTACCCCGGCCTGACCCACATCAGTCCCCGGATTCTCGCAGTAGCCTCCTGACTGGTCTCCTGGCAGAGGAGTCCCGTCCCTTTCCGGAGTATTCTCAACGCTGCCATCTGAGTGATCCTGTTGGAACAGGAGCCACATTCTGTCACTTCTCAGAATCCTCCAGTGGCTTCCCATCTCTCTCAGCATCACCCGAAGTGCCACGTGCAAGTACCACGTGCCTACAGTGCCTGGGAGGCGCCGTTACCTGCGCCCTCGCCTGCTCCCCGCGCATCTGTCCGGTGCCCGTCCTCACCGCGCTCCAGCCACGCTGGTTTTTTTTTTTTTTTTTTTCTGTTCCTTGAACCTTCCCTAGGATTTCTTTGCCAGGAGTGTTCTTCCAGATATCGGAATGGCTTAATTCCTCACTTCCTTTAGCTCTTTATGCAAATATCACGGGTCAGTGAGGCCTTCCCTTTCTAAAATCACAACCTTCTCTACTCTCTCCCCTGCTTTTTCTCTTTAGTGCTTACCCCTATCGAACATACTGCATGTACATATTTATTTATATTCTATCTCCCATTAGAATGTAAGCTCCATGAGGGCAAGGGTGCTTGGTTCTCTACTGTATTTCCAAAGTCTAGAACAGTATCTGGCCAGGGTATGAGTTCAATAACTATTTCCTGGGTGAATGAATCAGATAGTTGAACGTTTACTCATGTATTAGCGCTGTTCTGAGCATTTTATATGTATTATTGAATTCTCACAATAACCTTACGTGACGGTACCTGTGATTCCCATTTTACAGATGAGAAAACTGAGTCTTAAGAAGTTAAATGACTTGCCCAAAAGGATCTGAGTCACCACTCAAATATTTGCAAAGGGCAGCATGTTAGAACAGACAGACTTTATTGTTATTATATAGATTGACGTTCAGGTTTCAGATCTGTCAATTATTGGTTGAGTTAAAGCTTCTCTAAACTTCAGTATCCTCACTTATAACATATGGATGATGAATCTACCCCTCAGATTATTGGAAGGGTTTCATGAGATCATGGGTACATTATTTTCGTATGTATTTTTCTGATTGCTGGTGAACTTGAAATGTTTTCATCAATTTATTGGTTATTCAGGTTTCCTCTTCTGGGAATTTCGTGTTCATTACCTTTGCCCATTTTTGTTTTTGTTTTTTTCTTATCAGGTTGTAGGACTTCTTTGAATATTGGAGATACATACTGTCTTACATGTTACAAATAACTTTCCTCAAACTGTCATTTGTTGTTTGGTGATGTTTTGGAACCTTCTTTTATTCATCTAGTTAGAGATCCAATGTTAGTGGTTGATCAAGTCAGTGTGAATACCGTTTTATTGGCTTTGCACAGTGGCTCACACCTGCAATCCTAGCATT